CTCTTACTGAAGAACTTAGACGATCCAGGTTTCTGGATGAGGAAAAACTTCATGAGTCTCTAAGTGTGCGACATTACAGTTTTATACTGTCCACCAATGACTTCCCGTTGAATGGGTAAGGGAATGCCTTCATTCCTAGTCATTGCGCGGCAGACTGGCTGAAATTGTGACTAACATTTACCGGGTTGTGATAAATAGTGAATGACCAACTGTTGTGTGCACAAGCGTGGACGGCGTGTCGTCGTACATATATGCTTCGACTACCTTTACTTACATTAACCAAACAGTTATGACCAAGTCCGTTATGTAAGCCGAGCTAACTGGCATACACAACGTAAAATAGAGCGCACAATGGTCATAGGGATGTTTCAACCGTTTCAATTAATTCCTTTTTGTGGTTTTTGCTACAACAAGAGTCATGCACAATTAAGGTAGCCGGGGCCACCCGTGGGAAGGGGCAGTACACTAAATGTAAAACGATTCATGGACTAGCGGTAGTTTGCATTTACTGGTCTGTACGCACTTACAACGGTGGTAGGTATACTGACTGGCACCCTACATAATGCGAACAGATTTAGCTCCTAATCAAGTTAGATCGCCACTCGAGTCGGTACGCAGCAGCTACATAAGACCGCCGCACATATAGCATGGGAGTAAATTAATAGCATAGCCGTTGAAATGCACCAAGGGTTAATCTGATCGCAAAAAACCGATTGTCTTTAATGTCCCAGACATATACCACTTAACTGTGTGGAGTGCACTTTAATTAAGGCTTGCAGACTAACAGAGATTAACTAGCTTGATAGGACTCTGCAAGAGATCTCAGGAGCAATGATGTCAGCAACTGTTTAAATCCATCAGTCCATCCGCTGCAAGCTTATTCGGAGCGGACCAATTATCTCATCCTCTCCGGAATTCAAATCCACCGTCATTAAGGGCGATCATAGGCCCGGAAACGGCACCCTAGCTCAACCATGGATGGTCGCTCACCTTAGTCCCACCCGAGTTCACTCAAAACAAACCGCTTTCACGTAAGCTGGATCACCAGGTTGACACCGATGCGCATGGTGATGCTGATGAAAACCATTTGTTGAAGGTGCAACATTAAATGGTTGTCAGTGAGCAATGGGAAACTAAACCAATTATCATTAACGATATCCCCAAGGCTCCGGAAACTTGCCTCTTACGTTCGTGCTAACGATACTCGCGTACTGTTTTAGCTAATCGTTCATCTAGCCATCACCCGTGCCCTGCCGTAACCAAGCGGCTTACACTTATACTTAGTCACATGGTAGCCATCGACGCGCATGAAGAACTCGACAAAGGGTGTTTTCCGGAATGTATAACAATAACTAACCTGTTGTCAAAATACGCGTTAATCTGGGAGGAAGCCTGCTCGGAATCGACACAAAACCAGGCATCACACGACGAGAGCTCAGTGACTGCTATCGACACAAGCTGCAAAGATAGCTAGTAATGTCACAGCAATGTGTTGTCTATCAATAATTAGCAAACATTAAAGTCGCCCCACGAAACGTACCTGGAACACCCCCTAATGCAGGCGACGGTTCATTGACCCGAAGGTGAAAATGGCCACGAACAGGAGCGTAGAACCGTCAGCTACTTCCGGAACATCAGTTGCCCTCCGCGTCCCAGAAGGAATTGTTTAGAAGGCTGCCCAAGATGTATCGAAAAGACACTGTAAGCTCAACGATCCACTTGTTTCCGAAACCCGACCTCCACCTCCGTCACGGAAATACTCTCGCAAAAGTAACCTGAAGCTATTCGACGTCAGAGACGAAGAATAAGCAACTTAGCATTAACACAGAATGTGGAACATGACTCCATATCCTATGCTCCGCATCACTCGATATAGTGTTAAAAACCGCCTGTCCAGAAGTAGCTTCAATGCCAAACTATCAAACCAGCCTGTTGCTCCACTACTTCCCCCTAACCTAGATCAACACGCATCTAGACTACGGCCATCTAGCGAGCCTACGCCCTTCTGTGGCGATCGGTGGTCCACTAGCTGTGGCAGCCGGTTGTACTCGAATACTTTCTCAACGAAATAGTACCGGTGCGTTAGCTGTTTCGGCGTGTGCTTACTTGCATAATAAGGAGCAAAGTAAAAGAGGTGACGGTTTAACATCTCATATGCAAGGAATTTACATAACTACAATCAAACATCTATTAGAAGCCTTATCTAGCCTTAGGTTGGTGAATACGTCATTCTGCCCGGGACCTGTTCTAGCCATCTCGAGCATATTTGACATGCGTGATTTGTATGGGTGACAAATGGTTGGAATATGATTATCTTCCACCCCATGTACCTGAGGAACCGTCACTAAGGTGGTATTTAACTTAATGAAGTTAAAAGTTGGGTTGAGCACATCGTAGGCAGTCCTCTACACTGTATGTCGTTCCTTCCCTTACCATATTGACAACTTAACTCAGAAATTCAATGGTAGGTTGCAGTGCGCCTATAAGGGAGTCAAGTTCCATCGAAGTTGCATGAGATGGCATCAAAATGAGGCGGCCGATTTTCCTCTTGCAGGGGGCATTTTGGAACATCAAGTCAACATTTTTTACTCTGGACCTCCGTGAATCACCTGCCTCTTCGGCTCAAACGGGCTTCTCTTTTGCCCGCTCAAGCCCTTTTTGTGAGACCGTTTTGACTTCATTCACAGCGGGCTTGATCAAGGCCCTACTCACTTTATGTTTGGTCCCTTTTCCGGATATGCTCACTGCAGCACCTGCGTTCGTCTTGACTCCGGAACTACGCTCACTTCGCCTCGCCTCTACGTCTTAAGCTTTATGGTTTGCATCAGTTCGTGGATCAGCACCTGCTCCCACACACCGCATTTTCCAGTCCTAATGCGCAGATACACTGTGCACCTAGACGAGCGCATGGATGCGATCTGTGTAGCACACCTCCCTCTCCGTCTGACGACGGTCATTTGCTCTTTCAATCAAGAGCGCAGAGCGCAGCCGGTACTGCATACATCAACGAGTGCTCGTCCTCAAGATGGACATGTCAACGGACATCAAACGTTCACCGTTTTAGAGCAGAAGAATAATGTATGAGATGGTTAATTAGTACTCAAAAAATAGCAGTGTGTGCGTGAACTCGCATGTGGCAAATGAGCTTTCTGTGTAACCTAATTACTCTAACCTCATGACCTGCTAGACTTTTCATGTCAGCTGATATGAAAATATTGCTATTTTCAGACGCGCGAACGACCAGTGTAGTCTTTTGTTTATCGGTTCCCATAGCGCTTGCCACGGACACACTGCAGACCGCATCCTTCGGTGCTTGTTATTACTGCAGCCAATACGGTATATATCGTACCGCATTGCTACGGTCAAACACGTATTACCGCTTAGCATATTAAGCCTAAACAGACTGTATGTTAAAGCTGCTATTATTTTAGCGCTGGTACGTACTGAATAATGCATTCGTACATAGGATGTATTACCACGTGGCCTGAGTTGACCCCTCATCCCCTGGACGCTATCATGGCCCGGAGGTACAAGCACGCTGACTCACTCTTCAGTGACATAAGCGTGGAACGACTGTGTGTCAAGCATGAAAGTATCGGGTGTCTTGCTCATATGCCTTCCGAGAGAATTCCTTAGTGGTTAGAGTGTATTTGATGCTCTTGGGCGGGTGTATCATAGGTCATGCTGTCATCGTCGGCTCGGATACTCAGAAGCATTGGCAAAAATGCAGGTAGGCCTATGCAAAGTTTCGTAACTACGGACTTCTATTTTGTTGAGCCTATTTGCTTGGGTTTGTTTTAGCGTGCACGCTTGCTAACCCCACTAACTGTTTGGAGTCCTTGTCGGTGGTTACGGATCTTAGTTCAACCCTGATGCTAAGCATCTATCGTGGTATGCATCCGATTGATTCTTTCCCTCATAGATCCATTATTGACTTTGCATAGTGACGTTTTCTCCGTGCTCTGGTTTGTTTCGACATTCAGGAGTGTTAATCCTCCTGCTGTTTAAACAATGCCCTTTTCCTTTGGAAAGAATCTTATTCCTGTTCGTTCATGCTCTCACTACCGTTCATGGATGCGAATATTTGCGGGACTGGCTCAGCATACAGAAAAATGGTAACCGTGGAGGAGAACACAAGATGAGGCAAGTGCCTCATCGGTTGGCATTGCTAGGGCTTTTCTAGGACCATGTTTAAGATCATAGTATAATTGATGTTGGTTCCCTAAAATGCTGGTTACACTAATATGACATCTTTTACTTATTATCCGTACGTATTTTGTTCTATTATTTAAAGATTGGCTTTTTGTACAGATTAAGCAAATAAATCTCCTGTGGAGACAAGGTGTACTCTCACCGGTGAATCGAAGAGGGTCAGAGTATATCTGACGTTGGCCGGCATTCCGCTCAGAGAAACGTGGCCACCAGCCTCATGAAGGCAAAGCGAGACTGCCGACCAACTCGGTATGCTTACACACAATGAATTTCAGCCGTCTAGTTGCTGAAGCCTCACAAACTGAAGCAGGCGGGCGGCGCTCTATCGATTGATTATCCTAACTGATTCACGAGGGTTTTCGCACATGGTGCAGTCAAGTATGTGTCCGGATGATCAAAATGGCGGAAAACAGACTATTCGCGATTAGCTTTCACGGAATATGCTCTAAACTTCCTGTGGAAAATATCCTTTCAGTTCCGCCGATGTAGTCGCTGCCGCAATTCAGCAGAGCGGGTGAATGCACTGGGCGATAACTCGAGAGTCTATCATGTCCAGATAGGCTTTAAACTGCAATTTTCTAACTTTGTGCAATGACTGAAGCTCAGCAACTTAATAATAATTTTTAGGGATTGACGGAGACGATATCGGTATCTCTTGTCATTTTGGTCTCCTATGAATGGTAGCATTAGGAACACTTTTTCCTAGGGACTTCTCGAATAGCTGTGCTATGTTCTCTATCGTCCAAGATCGTGCAGCACTGTTTATCTACTCTTTCATATTGTCACAGGCTTTGTGTGAAATCGAGGAGACCTGGCGGAACTTGCAGTTCACTTTGGTGAACTACTCAAGAGGTGAGAAAATGCATGCTTCGCTGCTAGGTTCAGTGGACGACATTCTACTCGCGCTGGACGATAACTCAGTGAACCTACAATCCATGGCATCTAGTCGTTTTGTTCGTCCGTTTCTAAGCAATGTTCAGGCTTGGGAGAAAAATCTGAGCATAATCAGTGATGTTTTACAAACTTGGCTCACAGTGCAACGCAAGTGGATATATTTGGAGGGAATTTTCGCAGGAAGTGACATCAGCTTCCAGCTTCCGGAGGAAGCAAAAAAATTTAATGAAATGGATAAATCTTTCAAAACGGTAAGTGATTACCTTGCGATTGTTACCTCAGTAGCGATGTTTCCATAGTATTCGAGCTGACAAGGATGTAAAAGAGTACTCCGACGAAGCAAACCAATTGAGTCGCTGTAAGTAGGGTAACATAGCATCTACCTGTATGTATTAGTTGCGGTCCAGTAGTGTGTGGCTGAAGGCGAAGGAGCACCGCAAATAAAACTGGTCCACACCCTCCAGAAGTACACCACACTTGGGTAAAGATTGTTGAACATTTTTCCGCCTGGGGCAACTCGGTATTTCTTATGAGTTGATTACTTGGAACGGTGGATGCGGTCTTTCCAAAAACGTGTTTTCCGACATCTGTAGAGGTTGAGTGACATTGATCAATGAATGACTTGCTGTCCACTGTGCAATGCTACGCTACATTTTAAACGCTACGAAGAGTATAAGTTACCGCTGAATCGATGCTGAGCGTAGGGGTTGCGTTGTTCGGGATACACTCACTGCCCGATGGAGACCCATCTGTTCACTTTCCTTATTCTAACCAGTATGAAGAAAGAAAATGGATGAACATTGTACGTGGGTGTCTTGCTATCATCTATACTACCAGTGCACGTGTTTCGGAGGCTCATGGTTAGTTGGCGCCTTAAAATGATCTGGATTATTTCTTACTTTGGACGGCCGTTTTCTCTTTGGTTCGGACAATTATGTCCCACAAGCCTAGTGTTTTTGGACCACTGCAATTCGCTGAACAGCCAGCTTCAAGTTCAGTTCGTCTAACTGTACGGAAGCCTCGGCCAATTTCTACAGCCCTAGAGAAAGTCTCACGCTTTGACTATCAGTGTAGGCGTCTTCCCCTTCGAGGATCCTGAAGCAGAAGGGAGTCAATTCGGTTGAAAATCCGCTTCACGTATGTGTACTAGCCTATCAATGACTTCGCTTGTCTCAAAGTAAAGACGGCTGCTGCAAACCGTGTACCCAATGGTTCTGCGGTGATGTACAACCAGCGCCTATAATTTGGATACATTCCCTCGGATTACTTCACTCAGATCACCAAAGTCGCTCTTAAACCAGGTATGGTGAACAGAATGATGGACATACCGAGAGGACATACTAGCACACTTGTCGTCCGGTTGATCTACTTGACCCGATTCACGAAGTGTCTGCTCCACTGCACATCGCATATCAAAGCAGTATACATCTCCAGAATTTGCTAAATAATATAAGTAGAAATTCATCACGTCTAAACTCAGTCAGACAGCCATCACAAATTCGGAAAATCTCTAAACAACCGTTGACGCTTTTCGGGAATTAGAGGAAGTGCGCATTCTATCCGATGCTTGTGTAGTTAAAACCCATAATTTGATTGTTATCAGTCTGTGGTTAGGACAACTGAGCCATGAGGGACGATAACTACTGACGTGACTGTTACTAGATGTTATAAAGCGCCGCTCGCTATCCATTAACATGCATGTTACTGCTGTGCAGAGGACAGAGTGGCCACCTCACTGAGCAACGAAATTATCCAATATAAGCCGCCAATAAAAATGTCATTAGAAGCAGTTTGGTCAGTGTACTGATTACTAAGGAACAGTAAGAGGAGTAGCGTAGCCTAAGTAAAAGCTTCAATTCCCTACTAGTTCCTTGTAATCTGTTAAATATGTTGTCAGCGGACGTCGTCTCGTAAACTAACTAAACCGCAATCCAAAAGCGACACTTTCAGTGTTATACCAAACCAACATCCTCACACACACGTGACTGACAGGAGTATAATATGTGTGCTGAACCGCGTTAGATGCAGGTACGGAAAGTATTGGCCCACGAAGATAGGAGAACCGGATCCCAGAAAACAGCAGTGATATTGTTGTAACGTGCTAAACATAGTGTAGGGGCCCGGAACGTAAGGAACACGCGGGAGACTGGAAAGCCGCAGGAATGGGTGAGGGCAGACACAGGCATCCCAAGGTCGCATAAAAAGCCCCACAGAACGAGCGGTGAGCGGATCGCAAGTGGGTAAGGTCGAACGGCAGCGAGCCCGAGCCAACGAGAACAGAAAAGGTCTTGATCAATAGGCCAGTAAGTTAGACAGAAACCCATTTGTCGGTACATCCAAGAATAACTCCGGTGATGGTGGCGGAGATCGGGGCCGAATAAAATCGGTGCGCTACAGATGGACCGGGTCCAATCAAAAGAAAACCGAGCATGCACGATTAATCTGCCCCAGCGCTAAGGAGAAAAAGCGTGCTTTCAGACAGCTTAGAAGCGGATTGCTCGGCAGTATGGCGAGCGGACGGTTTACGTCCGAGCCCATGTTAACAACATGCTCAGCTGTCGCAGATTGCCAAGCGAGAAAGCATCAGTTCTAAAGACGAATATATATATATATATATATATATATATATATATATATATATATTGAGCCAAAGGCTCCGGGCGCAGTCCCTCAAGCACACATGCATACCACCTACTGACTGCAGGTCAGGCTATTGAGCCAAAGGCTCCGGACGGAGATCCCATGCAAACAACCGAAGCACAACCACCACCTGGCGTGCGATTGTCTACCGATCCAAACGCATGCCTACGCAAAGCGCATAACATCGAGTGCTCGAACTTGCGCACACTACTACACATCTTCCCGATTGATGGCATCCATTGTGCAATTGAGTTGCTCCCTAAGGCTCTGATTTGCATCTTCAAGCCAATTGAACCTAATCATTGGTGCGAATTAATTGCATCCGGTATCATTTCTACGCACCAAGCCCGCGTGGTGACCTTGAAATTGAGCTAGCTCAAAGCAGCCGATGACGGTAGACTTAATAGCCCTTGCATGAATGTAGCAGTTCGTGGTGTGTGATGTGGACGCTCGGGCGGCCTAGCCGGCATTTAACAACAGTGCCTGATCTGAAGCTAGTTCCACGCAGCTAAGGGGCACAAGGTTGTCCAAACACCTGTGGCGACTGGGTATAAGTGGACTACCAGGTACGTAAAGGTATGCCTTGCGGACAACACCCGGGGGGCTGCGTACACAGTAATACGACACCTCATTAGCGATCTCATGGCCAGTTTTGCACTGGCGCAGCCAAGATTTTGGACGACCTACCAAGGCTAAGGCATGCGAGGGTACTACGTCCGGATAGGGAGGCAGTCAGAGGTGCATTGCTGCGAATGACCAGGGACGGTGTGACGGCTTCGCGAGCGGCGGTCTGCTGAGTGGGCTAGTGCCAAAATACGACTGTGGCAATTTTGTTACAGGGCGGTTAGGCCCTGCTTTGATACAGCAGGCGTCGCTTACCGTCATAGTGGTTGCGGTACACCGACTTGCTGGTCCCTGAATCAAATGAGATACTGCGACCGGGCTGTCGGAATTTCGTATCTACTGATCTGTACCCACATGCATGGGCGGACTGGTGCAGACTGAACGTGAGGGCAACTGACACGCATCAACTGAATTCGTGGCCCGCACCTAGGTGGGTGGTATGTTCGCACATGGGAAGCACTGCATCGTCGCTTGGCATCTTTGTCTGGCCATTTCACTGGCTGTTCTACAGCAAACGTACTTGGAGGACACAACATATCGGCGAGCAACACTAATTCCTTCCTACAATAGTTTTACCTGTAAATCCCATAATTTCGCGAGGTCGATAACACTCAACTCCATATCTAACGGCCTGTGAACACCTAGTTCACAATCATAGATGGCAGTACAATAGCATATCATGGGTCAACTAGATAACGCTTCAAATGTCTCGTAGGATGGCCGTATTGAAGAGAGGAAGGTTAAAAATAAACATATGCAGAAAATGGAGTGTGAATTGGTGACTTAGCAGAGACAGTTGCATGATAACTGGTATACATCCATTTAGTTGAAACTAATCGCTCGCCATAAGTTAGATCTTTGGCGCGAAGCGGGAAATTCGAGATCATAACTTTATACATGAAATCACTTTGTAATCAAAAAAGAACATCAGAAGGCGAAGGTTCCGCGATGACACTGTTAGGACGATCTAACAGCGGTCTGGCAGGTTCGGTGTGTCCGGATATCAACACAGTCACAAGTGTATGACTTCGAATGATCGGAGTCTGGGGTGTAAAAGGTTGTGTCGCGCTTGTGAGTAAAGCGACAAAAGTGACCTGCGTAAATTGCCACTGAACTCTGGATTGACAGGTGGCCACATGTGTAAGAGAGAAAGATCATGGGTCGCACTCTGCTGAGGCGGCTGATGACGTGATACGACTGCGACATTCTCGTTTTTGGGCGTGCATGTATCGAACGATCTGTGCACCGTAAGTCGAACTCAGTACCCCAACCATCCAGCCCAGTTAATGTGAGGCACTGCACTTGCCATGTGTTTGCACTGGAGGGATAAGTGTGATGTCTTGGTGGTTAATGTGTAGGCGATCACGATGACTACCACTTTGATCGCTTGAGTGGTTCATGTTCTCTTGAACGCCTCACCACCATTAATTAGCAGACGACTCACAATGCACCGCATATATTGGCACAACTTATGCGCGGAATCGAACGCCGTCGACCGTATAGCCCTCTAAAAAAACTTCACAATAAGCGACAAACATCGATCTTGCATCCTGAGATGGATCAGTGGCTTACATCCGAGGCGCTGTCTTGGCGTATCTCACAGTGCCTGTCCTCACGCGGCGATATGTGACCTACGGCACTATGCAACTTCGACATTTCCGCAATAAGGCTTATCCTTATAATAAACATAATGGCTCTTCCTTCTTTGCGCACGGTAGTCCTCTTCGTGATGCCAACTACATAACATTCCCTCTACAGAACTAGCGACCCAAAAGTACGTAGCAACACATGACCTCTCATCACTAGCAGCAATGTAGTCTCGATAGTCAAAATTCATCCGGATACCCTCTGGTTGTCTCTAGCAACGTCTAACGCGGAAACACGCGGGAACTCTCTGCGAAAGCACTTAGCATGAATACCATCGCTTATACCTGCACGTCGAATCGATGGTTTTGTGATGCACAGCAATGAAAACACCAGTTCCAAT